GCCCCAGCTTCCTGCCCCCACCCCCAACAGAGCCATTTATTCAACTGTTTCCAGAAGGGATACATTTCCAGAATGACTCTGCTCAAGTCTCTCTCCACAGAAGGCCCTGTGGTAAAGGTTCTGGACCCTTCTCGGGGATCTCAGACAGGCTGGTCCTGGGTAAAAGGTGCACACGTACTTGGAAGCCCCCAGGAGAGTGAGATGGTTTATCCTCACCTCTTCTCCGCCTCCGAAGCTTTGAATTCACACTTACAGGCTTGAAAAGCAAATCGCAGACATCCCATCAAGATGCTGTAAGACTTTGAAGTGCTCCCCTCTACCCCAAACCCCACAGCAACGGTGAGTAAAAGAGAAAAAGAGAAGCCAGAAATAGCTTTACTAATTCAAAAACAAGAAAAAAGTCTCCCTGGACCAAGAATCAAACAGAAAAGCAAAGCAAGACCCAAGCTGATGCTGGGGCCTCGGCTCTGGAAGCAGCAGCAGCAGGAGCGCCTTCCATTCCCGTGGTTAGAATGGACTAGAAAGGCTTCCGGTGAGAAAGGCGAGAGGCTTTAAGCCAGGGGATGAGATATCTGTTAATAGAAAGAGGCTGAAGACACAGGGCTGATGACCTTTTCCCTTAGGCTAAGTATATATAGGAAGCTCTGAGCCTGGAAAGGTCAGAAGACACACTTCTAGGTAGCGAGCACCAAGATGTCCATCACCTAAGTAACCGTGTCCGCAGAGCCCCGACACCACTGCGGCCCATTGGTTCCAAATGCCATGACTCTGAGGGGTCTGGGAGAGGCCAGCTGCATGGCCAGCAGAGAGAGGGGATGCACACAGAAGCAGAGAAAGGAGCAAAACCAAAATACTTCCCACATGAAACGAGCTTGCGTTATCAAATTCCAAACCATTTCGTGAAATGTGATGCTAAGAAAGATAACCAACAAAAATCAAAGATCAATGAAATAATACATTATATGTTAATTTTTAAAAAGTCTCCTAAAAAAAAAAAAAATCAAAGATCAGAACATGAGTTCACTCCAGTGGATAAGCTGTGGCTCTGACTGGCCAAGACTCTTGGGACTATGATGGAGATGCTCAAAAAGGTAACTAACAGAGGAGGATTCAGGAGGAGAGAAAACGAAGCTATGAAGCAGGGATAGGGAGAAATAAAACATAAACTGGGAGATACGGGGAAAAACCAAACTTGAGATCCTAAGAATAAAAAATAGTCCTCAAACCAACCCAGTAGCAAATGACATCCCTAGCATGTGATTTAAGGGAGCTTTAGCTCTAGAAACATGAAATAAATGCCAGAAGCCAAAAGGGGTCATCTTGGGAGCAGGAGAGGGAGAGCATACTAGTGTTCTTTTTTGTTTTGTTTTGTTTAAGATTTTATTTATTGATTTGACAGACAGAGATCACAAGTAGACAGAGAGGCAGGCAGAGAGAGAGAGAGGGAAGCAGGCTCCCTGCTGAGCAGAGAGCCCGATGCGGGACTCGATCCCAGGACCCTGAGATCATGACCTGAGCCGAAGGCAGCGGCTTAACCCACTGAGCCACCCAGGCACCCCATACTAGTGTTTTGAACTGGCTTCTAGCACTTTGATTTTTCAAATTGTATGCATGTATCACTTAAATAAAAATTAAAATAAGGAACTGAAAAGACTGCATGAAATACCATTAACGAAGGATCATCTGAAGGATATGCAGTCCTCGCTTCCCTCTGTATAGTGTAAATTTTATTCTTAGAAGGGAGCAAACCATCTGGGAGGTAGGAACCAAGCATATATCAATTTTAACCCTTCGTGTTACTTCTTTCATTAAGTTATAATTTGAAATTATGAATATAATAAAAATAAAAAATGAATATAATATAATAAATATATATATAATATAATAAAAATAAAAAATGAATATAATAAAAAATCAGCTATTTAAATAATTGTGGAAGTCTGTTAAGGACATCACCACGGAATCATGTGGGACCCTCTGGAGTGGCTCTGGCCTCAGTACTGGGAAAAACTGGGCTCCGGCCGAGGAACCTTGTGTGTCCAGCCTCATGGCTCTTGTAAATTCTGAAATCAGTCCTTTAGCTTTGGCTGCTGGAAGATTTAGAGTAATTTGTGATTGGTTTCTGGTCACTTTATAGGATCAGACAGAATGCCTTTGGGGCACTGACTTGCTTTTGTCTTACTTCCCGTCACTCTTATTTCACAAATTAACGTAAGATTTACAGCCATTATAGCATACACACTCATCTGCCTACATTTACATATTTACGCTGATATGCAGAGAGATGTGTATGCATGTGGGCCTGGAAGCCGATCAGAGGCTTCTCAGGGTGTGATGAGACAGAACGCATTGGGGAAGGAAGAGAAAGGAAGGGAAAAACAGTAGGTCGGACTTTGGGGTCATGGCCTTGAATGCCAAGCTGTGTCTGAAGTTTTATCCTGAAGACTAAAGCCAATAACAAATATTTTCCAAAATTCCGAGTAAAGCAGTGACATGGAAGCTGCCATGGTTCAGAAAACTTGCTGTAGGACAGGGAGCAGGACGGATGATCGAGGGGACATGGAGGGCCAGGGGCTATTTCAATAATCCAGCAGTGAGGTGAGGCAGTGGCGTTGCTGGTAAATGGACAGACACCGTGTTTCAGAAGGATCAGATGTAACAGGCTTTAGGAAAGAAAAAGTGACATGGGCAGTAAACACAGCTTTTTCTTGCCACAAAGCAGATGACATCCAAGGAAGCACGCTGCGTACCAGCCACAAACTTACAGAAACCATCAGTTCCCGTGGGTCTGTTACTCTGCTTCTGTGACAGGATTCTGACCTGTGCAAACCACAGGAGAAGTCAAATGGTTCTGAAACCTCCCTTAGAAGGTAAGTTCTATTCCTTCCAGCAATTAAGCTGCCGATGACTAGAAATGACACGTAACTCCACACGTGCCAATTACAGCCGCTCTGAAAGGCCTCCTGCCTTCCTGAAGCCAGATAGCACATGGGCCCAGCAACATGCAGACGGCACCCTGATAAATACCGCCCGACCCAGAACCCTGCTGAGATGAATTTCTCAGGGTCCAAAAAAAGCAGAAAAATAATGTTGAACACTTTAAACCTTGGAACCGAAGTAAATTTAATTTTGACTTCAGTAGTTTTGAATTCATCATCTTTGAGGGATGCACTAAGCTGGCTTCACCCGGGTCTTACTTTGTCGAAGCAAATCAGTGATACAGAGATATCAGGAGGGATGTTTACATCACTAAACAGAACGAAATTCTCAGGTAAATAGAAACTTGAAAACAGAACTGATGAGCTGATTGAAATCACATCCGTATTCTCATCTCAGGGTATACCCCACTCGCTTCTCCTAGGAAACATTTCAGAGAAACGTGGGTAACAGAGCTGGAAGGGGCCTTAAGAGCATCCAATTTAATTGCGGGTGTTAGACACTGTGTTTGTCTTTCTCTGCCCGACTTATTTCAGTTACCATAATGCCCCCAAGGTCCATCCATGTTCTCGCAAATGACCAGATGCCGTTGTCTTCAAGGGCCGACCAATCTTCCAGTGTATATACACCATGTTTTCTTGAACATTCATCTATGGATGGACACTGAAAATTGTTTCCATGTCTTGGTTATTGCAGACAATGCTGCAATGAATGTGAGGATGCGACTATCTGTTCAAATTAGTGTTTTCATTTCCTTTAGTTAAATACCCAGAAGCAGAACTTCTGGATTATACGGTTGTTCTAGTTTTAATTTTTTGAGGGACATCCATAATGTCTCCCATGGCGGCTGCACCAGTTTGCATTCCCACCAACACGTCCCACACAAGCCTTCCCTTTTCTCCACAATCTCACCAACACCTGTTATTCATCTTTCTGAGTCTAGCCGTGCTGACAGGTGTGAAGAGATACCGATGGCCAACAGGCACATGAAAAGATGCTCAAGGACGGTCTGGGGAGAAATCCCAGGGGATCCCCTACAATCCCGGCATGAGTGGCTATTGCAAAGGGCTAATGCAAAGGGCTAATTCTTGGGCAGGAATTAGCGGTGGATCCAACTTTTCCCGTTTCGTGCACTTATTTCTTTTTCACTGAAAACTAACTGTTTTGAGCACAAGGTCCCTGAGCTCCTGCAGTGAGAACCACAGCCTCTCTCCATTGATGTTGGCACCAGAGACTACAGGGGACTGTGCGGTTGAGAGGGAGCAGGACTAGATTCGGTCCCAAGATCTAAATTTGAGACTTGGTTTTGCCATGTTTTCTTTAACCGCTCCCACAGGCACACCTCTGAACCTCTCTGAGTTGCATTTCCTAATTCACAATTACTGAGTTAAATGACAGTGATTATAAAAGAATTCCCACAAACGTAAAACACTCTATAAAAGTAAGATTTATTCAGATAACTCAGTTGTGTGCAAACTAAAAGTCATATAGGTTTGATGTGAGGAAAGTACATGAATAAAAGAAAAGTTCTTTTTTTTTTTTAAACCTAAATTCATTCATTGTCTTTATGGCTTTTATTTTGGCTTTTCTTCCTTTCTCAGAGAGTAAAAGTTGCTAGAGATAAGTGATCTCTCTCTGCTATGAGCATTATAGCAAAAAGGCTTACAGACCAAATTTTAAGGAAATAACAAACTAGAACAACTCACGAATTGAGTAGCAGCTTCACAGCCATAACGTACCCCAGCGCCCCGCTGTACGCTCTAACAGCGCGCCGGCCTTCAGGGTCCTTTTTATTATATGTTTACCGCCTACATTCCCTCCAGAATCAAGTTCCATAGATCCCACCTGAGATTAAACCTCTCCCTGCTTCGTGGGTGTTAGAAGTTCAAGGAGATAAAACACATGTCCCACCACACATTCTTTTTATCCACCTCCGTTTCCCACTCTGCCCTGAGAGTCATTTCCTTGAGGATTAATGAAAGAAAAGCAGAATTCTCTGAGAGGTCACTGGGATCGTGCCTGCGAGATGCTCCAGGCTGGCCCCCCCACACCCTGCCACGTACCTTGTCTTGGGTTTGGCATCGGAAACAGTCACATTCGAAACAGTATTGGTCCCTCAGCTGCTTGCGGCGCTCCTCACTGGTCATCAGCATGTCCAGGTAGCAGATGGTGAGCTGGGGGGAGGGGGCACAGAGGACAGGGTCACGTGGCTGCGGTGCTCAGCATCTCTAACACGTGCTTACTATCGCTGCTGATTATTTAAGCAGAACGCGTTTTGAACACACCAAAAAGCACAAAAAGGAAAGAGACTACTTACAATCTATGCAAATAATCACACGTAAAATTTTAATGCATTCCCTTCGGGTGTTGTTGTGTGATGAGCACCTGTATATTATACACTTATTTTAAAGACCCCGACTCCTGACCGCTATACACTTTGACACCTCGTCTCTGAGCCACCAAATAAGAGACTATCGAGAGCTGGTGTGTGTCGGGTAGTAAACGCTATAACCATTTGCGATCAGAGAAACCAGATCAATTCCGGCCCCCAAAGGGGAGACGGGTGACACACCCAGGTGTTCCTAAATCCTAATCAGTCCTGCAGCCTCATGGACTCTGAAGTCAACCAAATTTGGTGGCTTTTAAGTTAGGAGACCGTTTTACTTGTGACTACATAGATTAAAAAAAAAAAAAACAAAGAAGGAGAACTAATGTCAGAACGGGATCCTAGATGGAAACCCCTAAGCTGACCTCCTTGGGCTCTTTCAACAGTGATTATGTTGTCTTGAATGGTGAAAGGTCAGGTTTCCCTGTCGCTGTCAAGCTTCACTTGGAGACATAGGTCTTTGGGTAACATTGTGATGTTCACACATTCCACACTCGACCAGATCTATGCACTGAAGGGCTAATTCAACATATACAAAATGGCCCCCCTGATCCCCCTGGCCTGTTCCATCCCTGCTGGACCTGTCCCAGTCCCAGCTGAGAGCAATGCAGCTTTCGTGTCCTTCAAGCAGAAAGTTCAAAGTCATCCTTGACTTCTCCCTCCCTTTCCAATTCTTGCCCAATCCACCAGGAAATTCTGTGCGCTCACATTAAAAATATATCCAGAATCAACCATTTTCTACCTCTCCCAATGTGACCATCTGGTCTGAGTTGCCTTCCTCTCTTGCCCGTAAAACAAGCAAGTTTCACAGCCTGTCTCCCTGCCTCCCCCCGTCCCCCTGCACAACACCCTCTAGGCGGTGATTCTCCATGATTCTCTTTAAACCTAAGACAGATTGTTAAGACAGATCAGCTCTTCCCTGTGTTCAAAATGCTCCAACGGACCCTGCTTTTGCTTACGGGCCATGTCTTGACAAGGGGTCCCACAGCGCAACTTGGCATGTGGTTCCAGGGGCTGTGTCACCAGCCCGCAGTAACATCAGAAAACAAACGCAAAGGAATGTTTAGGAGCTTCTACAGGAGGCTGGTAAGATACTTTATATGACTCTAATAATAAAACACTGGGCTTTTGGCTCCTATGTTTTTAAATTTTCATTTTTCTAATAATTTAATTTCATGAAATTTTACAAAAATATTAGTCTGCAATGGATAAGGGCTAAGAATAATTATAACGATAATAACAACAACAATCACCACCAGCCCAGTTCCCTCTCTAATAAGCACCAACTCCCCACCAGCCCTCAGTTCTTCTGTCCCCATGCATCCACACCCCCACGCCCATCCAACACACTGGCTGCGTCCCCTGTGCTGCCCCCAGAACCCACAACGGGGCCCCCTAACCTGTGCTGGGTTTCAGTCAATCTTGCTTCCTCACTGGAGTCTGACCACCCGACGCTCCCCCCTTCAGGCCCCCTTGTCCCCTCACACTTTTCTCCTTTTCTCTTCTCGGTAACAGGTGTCCACTTGTCACATACTATGTACAATACTTCTGTATTCATTTTTACGTGTAGAAAGTAATCTTGGGGGTGTGTGCGGTGGGTGGAAGTGGAGGTGCCGCAGGAGAGGACAGCAGCAGGACCATCCATGGCAGAAGGTGACCAAAGCTCCGTACAGCGAAAATTCCCAGGTGCTTTTTCTTAGACGTAAAGTTTTAAGACTTAAAAGACTTAAAAGAAAGCATTTTGTGTCTACAAAGCACATCTTACACCCTGGAAAGCATGGTAGAGCACAGAAGGCCATGGTCTTTGACAGAAAACATAGCTTCGGGAGGGCCACAGTGGAAAGGAGGGCTGGTCAGCCAGCCAGAGGGGTCTCACCCACCATGGCCATCCCCAGGGTGACAGGAGCCAGAGCTGGGTCTGGCTGGCTGGCTCTCTCTAGACCCTTCCCACATTAGGCAACTGTAACACGCCACTCTGAAACACAGAAACAAGAGTATCTAGCCTCCGGAAGTATAGACGGTGTTTCTGAACACCTAGTACGTGCCAGGCACTCACGGAGCGAGGCAGCATGGGACAGTGATGATGTGGGTGGATTTGCACATCCACATGGAGCCAGATAGTCTTTCTGCAACACAGCTGCTTCTCAGCCTTCTGGGGGCTAAACGGAGACTCACTTCTTGAGGGGCTGCACTGGCACTGACCCTAAAACGCATAAGCCGGTGTGACACAGAGTTCTATGACAACTGGACTCCTTCGGAATTGAGTCCCTTTTTTTGCTTTGTGATCTGAAGCCAGAGCTGCCTGGGGGCCTTCACATCAGGCAAGTTCCTCTTGTTTATAGACAACACTATGTACCAAATTCCAAATAAACAATTCCGAAACCGCCCTGTGTTTCTGTCTGGGGCAGCATAGGCATTCACCTTGTCTCAACAGGCTCTGAGCGCCCTGGATTCCTTAAATGAGTTGATGGTAAAATGAACTGAACTCCGTGCTCCCTCTTGGGTTGGCTCTGGGACTCTCCTTAATCCAGCCCGACAGCAGTCATCAGCCCCCGCCATCAGATCAGATCAACTGGCAGTAGTTATTGGGTGAGTACGACGTGCCCTGTGTGAAGCCAACAAATCCAGGGCCAGAGAAAGAAGTCTGGCTAACCCAAGACTGAATTACATGTGCCAAAATTCATGAGTGATCATGCCAGCCAGTGAACAGGCAATAAGACACTAGTTACCTCATTTAACGCCACTACACAGACCCTGACAGAGTCCATCCCTACCCCGTTACTGCCCGTGACCACTACCTGCACTGGGCTATGGCTTCCTAACGTGCCTCCCCACCGCCTGTGGTCTACTCTCATCTTTGAAACTCCTCTGAGAGATCTTCCTAAAACTCACATCTGATCACGTCATTTCCCTATGTGAAGAATTTTTTTTTAAGATTTTATTTATTTATTTGACAGAGAGAGATCGCAAGTAGGCAGAGAGCCAGGCAGAGACAGAGGGGGAAGCAAGCTCTCTTCTGAGCTTGATCCCAGGACCCTGAAATCATGACCTGAGCCGAAGGCAGTGGCTTAACTCACTGAGCCACCCAAGTGACCCTACGTGAAGATTTTTGATGACTTCTCGCTGCCTGGGGGGTAAGGCACACAAAGGCTTCCCCACTGATCTTCTGTCTGCCTTTCTAGCCTGGATATCTCTCCGGTCACTTTCTAGTCTTCACGGTTATATACCCTGCAAAGCCTCAGAAACAGTGTGGGTCCTGAGCACCCCTGCCCCTGCCCGCCCGCACTTGCCCTGCACCGTTGGCTTCTTCTGAGTGCTCTCAGCCCGCAAGCTTGACTCAAACATGCCACTTCCCGTGAAGACTGCCCCATTTCCCCCTTTTTGCCTCCTCCATGTTCCTCTGAGTTCACAAAAGACTCTGTATCAAAACTAAGGGTCTCAAATGGCAAAACATTTTATGCATATTTTCGGGGGGGGGGGGAAGTACCATAGGTTACTAACGGGCAATGACAATGAAATCATTTTATCAGCCAAAGATAAAAAACCTTTCTTGCTGCTTCACCACTTTTACTTAAGAATCTGCTCACTACGCGTAGGGCTCATTTAGCAGGAACGTAAATGTGAAACTTGCCATTGATCAGTGGATGCTTTAATGGCACAGAACAAAATCGCATTAAAATATTAATGCCACTGACCATTGCTTTGCCATTTTAGAGCAGCTTTTACGGGAAATGCAGTAAATCACTTGCAACATTAGAGTGAGATGATGAAAGATATCTGCTAGATATGGATATATTGCTTACTTGAAAATTTCAAGGCAAAGGAACCCCTTTTCCATGAAGTCCATCTTTTCATTACATACAAAAGAGTGGATAAGAAGATCAAATTAAAATTAGACTTCGTTTTCATTTCTGGAATCACACAGTGACAATTACAGATTTTTCTGCGGGTACTGGCTCTGAACGGAAAACAAGACAGCAGATCTCACTTATCTTTCAAATCACACCTGCCTGCTAGTCTTTCTCTTCTTCTTGTCACACCTTTGTGCTCCGTCATTAGCAAATCAGGCTAATTTTAGCTGCTTCTTCAGATCCCCCATCATGAGCTGCCACCTGAATTCCTCCTGACTTTGGGGTGCCACTGTCACCTCTTGCTTGGATTACTGCATCAGCCTGACCCTCACTGACCCAAACTTGCTTACACACGGAAAATCTGAACACAGACTGCTGCTTCAGTGTTACCCCACTGCCTGTCCCCACCCCCTTCATGAACATCTACTGGGCGCCTCCCATAGACCAGACATGGCAGGAGTTCCTTGATAAAGCCCCCCCAGGGTCCTACAATCACGTGCAGTCCCTGCATATTCCTTCCTCAGCAGGTCACATTCAAAGTCTCCAGCCTATTGATCAGAACACTTCCTGCTCCTCGAAATCACCATTCTGTCCCTTGTCTCTGTGTCTTTGTCTAGAACGCCTTCCTGTCTCAGCCAACTGGAAATCTATGGTTCCTTTGAGAGTCCAAGTCACTTCTCTGGAAGCCTTTCTTACCCCCTCCCTACCCGGGGCCCTTTCACTACTTGGGTGCCCTGATCTGAATGTCTATAAAGCCCCCGTGTACTTTATCCTACTGTACTTTTCATATTCTGTTATTACTTTCTGTTCTGTGTCAGTTTCCTCGTTTATACCTTAAGGCAAGGCTCCTGAAGGCAAGGCTAGGTCTTACTCATCTTTGTATTCCCAATGCCCACCCCAGGACACAACACCCAATTAAGTAGTCAAATGAGTTAGCACATAAGTAAAGAGGTCTGAGGGAAGAAACAGACTGTCTTAATCTCACAACAATTTAAATTCAAACTGATAGGACGGATACTGATATGCTCAGTTTGTGCAAATCACATTTCTCGAAGTTGATATGGCTCCAGAGGTAGCATCTGTAAGAGCTACAGCCTCTTCTCACCAAGAATCCCCAGGAGGGTGGCCCGGACTGTCCAGCTTTCTTCCCTGATCCATGTTTTAGAACACCGTCAGCGAATAATACACATTTCACGGTTTACCCAAGCCCTGGAGAGGCAGCCGTTAGCAATCCAGCATGAGGGCCATCCCTCAAATCTTACTATAAACCTGTCTGTAGGAAGTACTAGATGAGGAGATAAAAATCCCGAAGCAAAACCAAACCAAACCAACTAACCCAAACCAAACCGACAAACCCAACAATTCAGCATTGCCGTGGAAATCCTGAAGTAGCAAAGTGCAGCAGGCGGTGCTGGTTTGAAGGGAAGGGTCTGAAAGCGGTCTATGGAATGGCTTCATGTGCGGAGAAACAAAGGGTAGGAAATTTCCATGGTGACTTCTACTCTGGAAACTTTGTAAATCCCCAGCTCTCCTGGGCTGAGGTCTGAATGTTCTCATCTCAAACTGGCAACGGCTAGCTCTTGTGTTACTTTCTTTCTGGGGCCCATGGGACACACCTGAAGATTAGAGGTAGTTTTAAAAATGGCTCTAACATTCTATTCCACCTCTGTTTTGCCTTTAGCAAGCCTTATTCACTCACTCAACAGAAACAGAATAAGGATTTTCTCTATAAGAAGCACTATGCAGTGTTTGCTCATGGAGCCTATATTCTGGGACTCACATCCCAGGGAGAACATGCTAGCACTGGGGGCTCCCTGACGAGCAGTAAAGCCAAGATGCAAAGTTGATGCTATGAAACTGCCAAAAGCTTCCAAATTTACTTCCTTGCTCAGTTGATCTAAAGCAAATATTTGCACAGTAAAAAAACCTGCCCTTTTAATCAACCTCAAAATGTCTTTTCTCCTGGTTCCCCCTCTGCCCCAAGTCTGCCCCAAAGGGCCCAGTTTGAAATGTGCAGGAGGAGTGTCGGCGGTGGGCGTGGGGCGCTACAGGCATCAGGGGACTCAGGACAGCAGCCTTCAGCAACGCACGCGTCCTACACAACGAGCCGCTGATCCATCTGGAATGCCAACGGTTCCCTGGGTGATAAGCAATCCTGGTCTTTATGGAAGCTCACTTGAATGGAAGTCAAGTCAACAGGGAGCCATGGATGCCTCCTGGGGATAAGGCCAAGTACCGGGTACTAAAGAAGATACGGAAGTAAGACACAACGGCCTGCCCTCCTGGAGCTTATGGCCGAACAGAGAGGTCATCAGAATAGCCAGAGGAGATCTCAAAGCGAAAGACATTTCCTTCAACCTGGGAAATCGGGAAGAGGTTTATAGAAAGATGATGTTTGAAAGGACCCGGAAAGGTGTGTAACATTAACACAGGAACATGGGGGAAGGGGGACAATTGTGTAGACAAAATGTCACCCACCAAAACATGCACGATGGGGTGGTAAAAATTTTATTTTCTGGAAAAAAAAAAATCAAGCTCTTAGACATAGAGAACAGATCAGTTGATGCCAGAGGTGGGACAGGGGGTCCAAATGGGTGAAGTGGGTCAAAGAGTACCAAGTTCCCATGATAAAGTACATCCGTACAGCATGGGAACTACAGGCAACAATACTGCAAATCATATTTGAAAGTCACTAAGGAGTAAATCTTAAGAATTCTCAAGAACTTTTGAGAAGGAAGAGAGAACATTTCTGTAACTATGTTTGGTGATGGATGTTCACTGGAACTACTGTGGTGATCATTTCACAACATAGACAAACATCAAATCATCATGGGATACTCAGGAAACATACAGAATGTCATATGTCGATTATACCTCAATTAAACAAAATTATCTTCCGAACAAGATGGACAACAAAAGGACTTAGGGAAGGAACCCTCCCTTTGTTGGGAAGATGCTTTGGTAAGTATCATACGGGAACGGATCTGAGTGTACCGGGCCTCATGCTGAGCACAATTATTTTGTGTTGAGCAAGAGGAAGGATTTGCTTGTTGTTCCAGAGATGGAAGGAAAAGGACATGAAAAAAATGAAATCAGCACCAAGAAACAAGACTTTTTTCCAACTAAATGAAAACCAACCAAGGAAAATAATGGGCAGCCAAGCCTAGAAAACCAGGCATAGGAAAATCTCTTTGTTGTTCCTGAAAATTCTGACTGTTCCTAATAGTTTTTCTGTTTGCCTCCAGTTATTGGTTTTTTTTTTTTTTTTTTAATTTAGTAAATCATTGTCCCATTGGCAGCAGCAACACTGTCTCTGCGGACAGTCAGCCCTCAGCTCTGCACTAATGCTGTTGCAAATGGACAGTGCCCCCCTTCCTACCTGCCTTGAAGTCACATGTGGCCCTAGAATAAAAAACATCACTCTCCATCTCATTGACAGATACCCCAGTGTACTGAGCACAGGGGCCCTAAAAAAGGGAAATCCAGTAAGTGGCTGTACAGGAGACAGCTTATTCAGTTGCAAATCAGATTGGAGGGAATCTTCTTGAAGCCAAATCCCTGTCTACATAAAATATGGTGCCCCCGAGTTTAGGTTTTATTGGCTGAGTGTTGCATAAATGCCATAAAAGCTTATGATACTCTGCTTTCCTTGCAATAAATACCCACTTTAGCAAATTGGAAAGTGGAAGGAAACTACGTTCTAAAAAGCGTAAATACCTAGAAGCCCACATTCAGGGTGGTGGGTGTGCAAACCCTGGGGGCTTCCAGGGGCAGCTCATCCCCAGCTGCCCTGTGAGACCTGGAGCTTCGGAGAAGGCTCTTCTTCCCAAGAGGCTGGTGTGGCAGGTTACAACCCTGGAGGGTCAAGGCTAAGTCACTGCTGGAGGTTACACTCCCTGGCCTCTCTTCCCTTCACATCTTTGCTGAACAAACACACATAGAGGTCGCAAGCTCCGCAAAGGCCCCATGACCCGTGAATGAGTAAATCTTGTTTGCTTTCTAGCAAATGAAGGTACATGAGTCACCCACAAAATGGGACAGTAGCCCTGGGGGTAAGGAAATCCTTGGGATCCCATTTACAAGCTAGGCCAGGCTCCTGCCCGGGAAGGATAAGCATGGGCTGGGATGTGAGAGTCTGGTGGACTGTTGCCTGCACTGAGCACAGACACTCCATCACACACTCACACCCCTCTCTTGCACACACAAGAGAGGACCTGCAGAGATCCAGAAAAATGGTGGTTTATGAAGGCAATCCATCTGTAATCCTGGACACGGACTGCAGGGCAAATCGGTCGCTGGGTGGATGCATTATGGCTCTTCTTCCTGGTGGAAAGATCTGGACAAGCTGTCCCTGAGGCACAACTGGTTTCAAGAAAGGGTCTGTGATGCAAAAGGAGGCCAGGCGCTGGGAAAAGCAGATGGCTTACCTCCTCTCCTGCCTCAATGTCCCGGACTGCTCGCAGCAAGAGGTGGGGCCCGTTGAACACAATGGAACAGTTGGGGTCACAGCTGTGATTGAGCAAAGACATACTGGGGGAAAGAGAAAAAAGAGGGTAGTGTCACTCAGCAGACAGAGTCAAACATCTAATGTTCCTGACAGGTAAGTCCGACAGGGCATGAGGGACTGAGGGCTCTAGGAGAAGTCCCAGAAATGTCACTAGCCCACATCGCATACAGCAAAACGCTCCTCAAGATGGAGATTACTTAGGGGAAGTGTGTTAACAAAAACATTTCTGAGCGCTTTCTGGGGTGAGCGTGGGGGACGGCTGTCTCCTTAGATGGCAGCCAGGACACCACCGGCCTTTCTCACACAGCTCTGGCCCGTGCGGCCCCTCTGCAGGATGTGCCTGCCTCCTGAAGGACGACGAGAGTGCTCCCTCTGACGCAGAAAGCCGATTGCATCTTGCGGACGAGATCCTGGAGCGTCTGGGGCCCCGGGCCAGTCATTTTAATACCATGGAAGTGACTTTTTGCCATCTGGAAAGGGAATGAATGTAAGCTGCACCATACTGGGCAATCCTCAGAAGAACGATCAGGGAGCGCTCGCTGTGTAGAAAGCACTTTCTTAGCCCTTACACAGGTCTCTTGAACTCAAGCACCATGTGAATCTCACGGGGGCACGGAGAGATGACAGGACGAGCACGGAGAAGTCAACGGCTTGCCCCAGGATGCACAGCTTGGAAGGGGGCCGAACTGGAAAGAGGCAGTGTGAACTCCAAGCCTCTGCTCCAACCCGTCTTTCTCAGGACCCGACCAACAGACCCGTGACTTACAACACTTGGGAGAAGTAAGAAAAGCAGCTGAATTCTCAGGTTCGCAACTAAAGATAAGAAGGACTATATTCGTATTTGCACCTTTCCAGCACAAAAACAAAATGGACCGAGGAGTGACTGCGGTGTTCGTGGAGGGACGGCCTGGCAGCTCAGGGGAAGAGAGTCCCCTCAGCAGCCGCAGCAGAGAACACTTCAGAAGGCCAAAGCCTGAAAGTCAGGGGCAGTGGAGCTCAGAGTATGCTGAGCCAAAAGACCAAATGACCCCAATGGGTGCAACCCCGTGAGTCTGGTGAAACACCCCTGTGCTTCTGCCCCAGATCGGGGCGGGTTGGGGGATAACCGATTATTTTCAGATTATGTATTTGTTTATTTATTTGAGAGAGAGACAGCATGAGCAGGGGGAGCAGCAGGCAGAGGGAGAAGCAGGCTCCCCACTGAGCGGGGAGCCCCGACGCGGGGCTCCATCCCAGACCCTGAGATCACGACCTGAGCTGAAGGCAGATGACCGACCGACTGAGCCACCCAGATGCCCCAAGGTCATAACCAAGTTTCCTTAGCACCCACGATCCCTAACTTCTTACCCCAAGGCTCCTGAGATCAAGAATTTAGGTCTGAGGTCGGCCTCCTTGCTCATATCACAGCATATACTACAGGGTGATAAAATTCTTTCCTTTAAACTTAACACTTTCCATTTTCTTATAATTTATCATTAGGTTTCGAGCATCGCTCTTGAACCAGCTGCGGCAATGGCCATCCTGACACCTTCCACAAGGTCGGGGAGCTGGGTTGTTTCTTCCAGTAAATGAAACACCATTCGCCATACCTCGGATAGAGGCCAACACCAACTTCCTGCATCTCCGCGTTGCAGATGGTGAACGCATTACAGATCACCTGTGAAAACAAGGGGAAGACAATCGGGATTACCAGAGTCGCCTAAGAAACTTCGCAGGCAGGCGAGAGAACAGAAATGTTCAAAAGCAAACGTCGGAGTTTGAATACTTTCAGTGGTTGCTTTGCAAAGATCCAAGCCAAACAGGGAGGCTCTTTCACTTGCAAAAGAAGCTGTCTGGGACACACTTTTCCTTGAGAACGTCGGGTTAGCTGCAGAAGTAGCAACATCCTGCACAAACCTCAGGCTTAAACCAGCACAGGGCCTGTTAATTTCAATCGAAGCTTTTTCTTCCAAGTCACCCAGTCCCATGACAGGTTCAACTTTCAGAATACAAAAAATCTATTTATTGAGAACTAGACTCCTATCAAGTTGGGTTTTTTTTTCCCCCCTCACACTGCCTGCAGTTTCCAAATGCCACTGTCTATTTATGAGGAACAGCAGCCTGTCTCTTATTCCTACAAAGAGGGAAGGACACCGCAAGAGAGTCTGTGATCAGAGCTGATGGACCACAAGGAGCACAGAAAGTCGTTCAGTCCAGCCATGGCAATTACTAGGGACATGGAAGGGCCTCACCAGCTAGACAGCACAGTCCTGTAGCCTATGGGGTGTGGACCAAAAGGAACAGTAGATGCAATCACTGTGCTCAAGGGACCTCAAAACCTATGGAAGGCCACCTAGAATCACAGAAAGAGCACTGGACTTAGAATCAGAAAATCTAGGTCCCGGCCACACATCGCTGCCTCAGGCAGGTGCTGGGATGAGCAGTGAAGGAATAAACAAAGTTCCTGCCTACATGAAGCTTAAATTCTAGTGGGGGTGGTAGTGGTGATGCATGTTCATGTCAGGAGAAAAGCAAGTGCAAAGGCCCTGAGGTGAAAATCTTTTTAGGTACAGAGTAACAGCAGGAAAGCTGGTGTGGGCAAAGCAGGGCAAGGAAGAAGAAGAAGAAGGGTGAAATAAGAGATCAGAGCAGTAGTTAGACTGTATAGGTGCTTAGAGCCATGTCTACATTGTATTCTAAATGAGACAAAAGGCAATGGGTTACTTCTGAGCCAAGGTGTGAATGATAGGATTTCCCTTGGGAAAGGATCACTCTGGCTGTCGCATAGAGAATGGGCTATAGAAAGGCAAGGGTAGAAGGAGAGGGAATGAGAAGCCTAGGTTAGCTTGGAGGTCTGGATGTTGGTGGCAAAAGTGGGGAGAAGTGAGTGGTGCTGCCAGTAGGATTTACAATGGACTACCGAGGGAAGCAGAGAGAGTCAAGGATCAGGTTTGAGCGTGGGCCTGAATGTGGGCTCCATAAAGTTGCCATTCATTAACAGGAGCAAGACTGGTAAAGGTTTGGTTGCAGGGAGCCGGGAGCAAGTCCAGATGCTTTATTTCAGCCGTGTTATATCTGAAACGGCATATTAGACATCCTAGCCAAGACCAAGTATGAGTGCCTGGAATGCACGGCAGCAGCTGGACTGGAGATAGACACTTAGGACAAAATAGAACAAAGCCCATCAAGAAGAAAGCAGAAGAGGCCACCATAGAGTTGAGATGAACCAGGCACCACAAATGGATGCTGACTTACTGTTACAGTTTCCGTGAAAGAAAAAACAAACAAAAAAAAGCAACAACGAATGTCTCTAAATCAGGTTTATAGGAAAGAACGTAAAGTATGAAAAAGCGTTCAGTCCTTTGAGACTCCACCACTGCTCTAAAGAGCTCTCCTATGAAATCTAGTGCAACCTATCATGATTTGGCATTTCCTCTAAAAGTCTGATAAAACTGCAGTTTCAAATCAGGAAATGAGTTGGTGTACACACATATATTTTAAACACACGAGTTAAATTGCTCTAGGGGCACGTGTTTTGTATTAAGTCGCAACGGCGTACTGCCTGCACATATTTATGTACAAAACGGATGGTGGAAATGCAGGACGAAAGACCCTGTGTTTTCTTTCAGAAACTTCACACATTTTTAAATGGGTATGAAATCGCAGGAGGGGAATAGAAACTTTAACACGTACTTTTCGAGTGTAATCACGACTTTACCAGCGTTAACCCACCAATGAAACACTGGATCAAACCAATCAAATCTGTTAACTTTGAATCAAACCAAAATGTAAACATTTTTTTTCTCCACTGTGGAGCAAATAAAAGGTCTTTCCAGAATAGGTTTATCCTGACAGAATTTCTTAAAAGAAAGAAAAAAGAGCTAACATGGGGAAACGTCTGCTTCCTCCAGGAGACTTTGTCGATCCCTCGGACCTACGTGATGTGCTCAGCCTGTTAGTAGCATTCATCATCCCGATTCGTTATTTACCCATTTATTTGACACCAAACGCAACTCCTGTGTACAATACTCCGAGGGCAGTGATGGTGGCTCCTTGCATGAAAGACACTAATATAGGATTTTTTGGGAGATGGATGGTTGTGTGGGTGTGGTCCTCAGGGTCCCCAGGGGGTCACTATCTAGGACAGGGTCAGAGAAGACACCAGAAGTAAGTCACAGGTCCCCTGTCAGCGTGGAAGAGGAGAGACAGGATGTGGTTCCATACTCTGCCAAGGAGTACGGAGAAGCTCATCTTCCAGCTCTCCTGTCCTTAGGCATCCCATCTGTTGATATTCCTGCCCAGATCTCTTTGTCCATTCTCGCTCTCTACTCTGCCTCATCTTTTGTTTCAAATGCTTCTATTAGTCCAATGGATGGAACGACAGGCTTAGGCCTCTAAAGAGACTGAGGGCTTGTTTGATCCTCTGCTTAAAATGCCAGGGGTCTGGCACGCCCCCCACCCCCCGGGTGGCTCAGGGGGTTAAGGATCTGACTCACAATTTCAGTTCAGGTCGTGATCTCAGGGTCGTGATCTCAGGGTCATGAGATTGAGCCCCATGAAAGGGTCCATGCTGGGTGGGGAGTCTGCTTGGGATTCTCTCTTTCCCTCTCCCTCTGCCCCTCCCTCATACTTCCCACTCTCACCAAAAAAAAAAAAAAAAAAAAAAAAGCCAGGGTCCAGACACATGGAAATAAATGTGTGCAAAATGAATGAATGGGCAATCATTCCCATATCCCTTGCCTTCCCTTCTACTTCTCTGGCATCTTTTCCTTTAACTTTCCTCCCTTCTTTTCCCCTTTTCCTGTTTTCACTGGTACCTGTAGGCTACCCTCTCTCATTCTGCCCCAATCCACAATATAGGTAGGATGTTTTTAAGTCCTACTGAGCCAATTCCAGACAAGTTTCCTCATTCATATTATTCTGAGAGGCATTGTGTGCCAGTATTCCTGAGCTAAAACAGTTACTTTTTTTTTTTACCTACTCCCACTTTTATTAAAAATACTAGTTTCACTCCCTAATATATCTGTATGTGCTCAGTGAAAATATGCAAGGAATTTCTCTTTATGCCAAGAAGTAAAAGAATGGAAATAAAGCCCAGAAATAAAAGTTTAAACACTTTTCAAAGTATTTTTTTTTTTTTGTATAAACAGTTTTCTTAGGAAAGTGCACAGGTTAAACAATGAATGAGGCCTTCACACAGATGCTTTTAGAAAAGCATATTAATGGGATTATTTCAATTAAAAAAAACTTAGAAATTCTTTCTAAAAATTAAAGTATTATGGAGTATTACCTTAAAATATTTATCATGACATAAAATTAAAATATACATTTAAATTATTTTATAATTATCAAATATAGTTATGTGTATTCTTCACAATATTGCTGTTGAAATCATCAAAAGCCTTTATAATATAACACTGTAGCTTTTCAAGACAGTAAAACTATAGTGAGTTGGTACAAGTGTTGCTGAAACTCTGTATTTTATAAAAAAAAAAACTACTAAAGTAAAATCTTAAATATTCTATGAAACACGATAAAAACCCTTAACATAGTAGGTTTAGAGGGAATATACCTCAATATAATAAAAGACATGTATGAAAAACACACAGCTAACATAATACTCAATGGTGAAAAAGTGAGAGCTTTTCCCATTAGATCAGGAATAAGACAAGGATATCTACTCTCTCCATTTTTATTTGACATAGTACTGGAAGTCCTAGCCATAGCAATCAGACAAGAAAAAGAATGAAAAGACATCAAAATTGGTAAACAGGAAATAGAATTTTCACTATTTACAGATGACATAATACTATTTATAGAAACCCTATAAATTTCACCAAAAAAATACCAGAACTGATAAATGAATTCAGAAAGGTTGCAAGATACAAAATCAATATACAGAAATCCATTATGTTTCTATACATTAATAATGAAGGAGGAGAAAGAGAAATGTGGAAAAAACAATCACATTTATAACTGCACCAAAAAGAATAAAATGCCTAGGAATAAACTTAACCAAAAAGGTGAAAGACCTGCACTCTAAAAACTATACAACACTAATGATGAAAATTGAAGACCACACAAACAGAAAGCAATTTCATGCTTGTCGATTGGAAGAAAAAATATTGTTAAAATGTCCATATTACCCAAAGGGATCTACAGATTTAATGCAATCTGTATCAAAATACCAACAGCATTTTTCAGAGAACTAGAACAAGTAATCCTAAAATTTATATGGAACCGCAAAAAAACCCCAAATAACCAAAATAATCATGAAAAAGAAGAATAAAACTGGGGACATTTCAATCCATAATCCCATATTTCATGATATTCTACAAAGCTGTAGTAATCAAAACAGCACAGCACTGGTGCCCAGACAGACACACAGATCAACAGAACAAAATAGAGAGCCCAGAAATAAACCCACAATTATATGGTCAATTAATCTTTATCAAAGAAGGCAAGAATATGGTGCTGGGAAAACTGAACAGCTACATGCAAAAGAATGAAGCTGGATCACTTTCTTATACCATACAAAAATATAAATTCAAAATGGATTACAGACCTAAGGTGAGACCTGAAGCCATAAAAATCCTAGAAGAGAGCATAGGCAGTAATTTCTGACATTGGCTATAGCAAGATTTTTCTACATATGTCTCCTTGGGCATGAGAAATAA